CAGCGGCCATTTGATCCGTTGGACTACGACTTGGAGGCGAGTTTCCGATTGACCCGGTTTTCCGAATTAAGAGGATGAGGGTCTAAAGTCCCTCAGGAACTGCTCAGTCGGCTCTTAGAGGGACTTAAGTCGGTCACCGCTGGTCATGACGGGCTCGCCTCCCATGACTCCCATCACCACATCGACCATCACATCCACAATCATATCAACCATTCATCCAATGATACGCATCAACAGTACTTCCATCAAGAGATGGGTCTCCCGAAGATTGGTATTATTTACTGTAAACACGTTTACCGGTAGTTGTGTTATGAATGGTTTGGTGTGTTGACAGGTATTGGTATGGATTGTGCGGTAATACCGATACGACACGGAGGAGGGCTTGTGCTCATACAGACTGTCGACTACTTCTACCCATTAGTAGACGACCCGTATATCATGGTATATATGACATGTCCTGTAGTTTTCGTGCATTTAGTGAATCAATTGATTGATAATTAAGGGGAAGATAACGTGCGCTAATGTATTGAGCGATTTGTACGCAATGGGAGTCACTGATTGTGATAATATGCTAATGATATTAGGCGTCAGTCAGAAGATGACAGACAAAGAGCGCGATGTCGTCGTCCCCATCATTATGAGGGGCTTTCGGGTAATGCAAGCCATCACTGCTCTTACCGGTCGTGTCTTAATTGCTTTGATTGTGTCGATAGGACTGTGCTACAGAAGCCGGCACACAAATAACTGGCGGACAAACTGTTCAAAACCCTTGGCTTACGATAGGAGGGGTGGCGACCAGTATTTGTCAGCCGTCTGAATATATTATGTAAGCATTGGTTGATTTGCAAACATTTGATGTAATGTTTATACTGGTAGTCCCGACAACGCAGTGGTCGGTGATGTACTGGTGCTCACAAAACCTTTGGGAACACAAGTGTCGAGTATATCATACCAATGGTTGGAACAGTCGGACAGATGGGCGCGAATTAAATTAGTTGTCACTGAAGACGATGTGCGCAAAGCGTACTTGAGGTCAATGGACAGTATGAGTCGTCTGAATCGTGTGGGTGAGTGTTGTTGAGCCATAAGTGATGGCATGATGTGTGACCCGAGTATTACCGGTAATATGTGTTGGTGTATACCCTGTACAGCGTCCCGACTGATGCATAAGTACAACGCTCACGGGGCCACTGATGTGACGGGGTTTGGGCTCTTAGGTCACGCCCAGAACTTGGCCAGAGTTCAGAAAAATGAAGTGTCTTTCGTTATACACAACCTTCCAGTGATCGCCAAAATGGCAGCCGTCGCCAAAGCGTGTGGTAATATGTTTCAACTGCTTCAGGGACACTCACCTGAGACTTCCGGTCTGTTATACTCCATTGAAATGTGTTGTGCGAGTGGTTACTAACACTAACGTACTGTTTATGAACGGACAGGCGGTCTACTGATATGTCTGCCGCGAGAACAGGCGGCCGCCTATTGCAAGGACATAGAGAAGCAGGAGGGCTATCAGGCCTGGATCATAGGTATCGTCGAGAAGGGCAGCAGAAGCGCCAGAATTATAGACAAACCGCGTGTTATCGAAGTGCCCGCTAAGGAGAAGGACGGAGAGCTTTGGTAACACTAATCACTCAATCATTTCACTCACAGAATGACCGACTTTTTCATCAAATCAATTCGTTTGCAATGATTTTTCAGTGATAGCCCTCTCCGGAGGTTCACTCAAAATGATGCCTCGATTTCGAGCGAATTATAAACAATTTTTTTAATAAATTCTTTATATTTACTATATTTAAAAGCATTTTATTTTATTTTATAACTGAACGGCCAGTTGCGGACAGTCCTCTCGGGCACCGCATGGGAGGCCGTCATCTAATATATCGAGCGGTTTGTTACAGAACTGACAGCTTTTAGCGCTACACAGCTCTTGATACAGAGGAAGACCCGTATCCTTCCACACACTCAGCATATCGTCTACAAAGTTGTCGATCATATGCTTCTCATGGAAAGGTGTCGGTGCGATGCGTAGTCTTTCCTGTCCTTTTGCGACAGTCGGGTAATTGATTGCCTGAACGTAATGACCAAATCGTGTGAGCATTTCGTTACTAATCCACGAACACATCCAGGGATTGCCCACAAGTATAGGTATTATATGACTGGCGCTGTCCATCTGAGGCAAACCCGCATCTCTGAGCGCAGCCTTCATGTACTTCACGTTTTCCTGGTGTCTATTCCGCAGTTTCTGTCCCTCAGAGCCCTTTAATATCTATTGAAAAAGTTTTATTTAATCATTAGTTTGAATACTGAATATAATATGATTTGTTGAAAGAATTATTTTGGAAATGAAAATAAGAATTACTCGAACGGAAGTGAGTGCACCGGACAGTACGATAGGGGGTAGGGATGTGGTGAATATAAAGCCGGCCGCATAACTACGGATCATATCGACCAAAGATGAACTGCTAGCTATATATCCGCCGACATTTCCAAATGCCTTTCCTATTCATGTAATGTAATGATTAGATAATATTATTATATACACTATTTGACTGTAACTTATATTCAGTTGACACTTACCCAAAGTTCCTGAAACGATGTCAATCTTATCCATGACGCCATCCCTCTGTCCAACTCCGGCCCCATTCTTGCCATACAGACCCACAGCATGAACTTCATCCACAAAGGTTATGGCATTATATTCATGTGCGACATCACACAGCTCTTCCACAGGACTTATAGCACCTACAAGTCATTCAAATAATAAGATTTTTGTTTAAATAAATAATTTATTCAAAAAATCTCTTTCATTGAACTATTTTTACTATTGAATACTTTTACTAATGATTGCAAAATAATGATACCAAGGTATGCAAAATAGAAATTGCATTAATTATAAAGTTTATCATTAAAAGAGAAAATAAAGGAATTTTGTGTTAAGAAATGAGAGCTCAGAGAATAATTATTTCTTATTGAAGGAAACTGAAGCATACTTTAGCAGTGCATTGATTTGCCAATAATACCCAAAAGAAATAGTTTTAGAATTTTAATTATATACTCAAAGGCTTTCCCTCAGGACTAACAATAACCTCTAAAATCTAGAGTCTAAATACAGTATAAGCATTAAAATTGTTTTCAAAATCGAAGTATAGTTTTGAAACTAAAAATAAGAATTGGATCGATAGGTGTCCAACGCTTAAGTGGATATTATTATTGTAAAAACTTTTATAAATTAGAAATACCTGTCATTGAGTGGACCGTTTCGAAGGCAACTATTTTGGGCAAAGAATAATCAACCGATTGAAGCATTTCTCGCAGATGTTGGGCATCACAGGTCCGAAAGACATGTTTGGGAACGGCACTGTTTTTAATTCCCTGGATCATAGACGCGTGATTTCCAGCGTCAGAGAATATATGACAATCTTTTCATAAAAGTAATCATTTGTTAGTCAATTGTTTTTTATGGTAATATATACTGGAAATTACTCGGAAGAGCTTTAGCCAAAGTAAACAAAGTCGAGTCGTTGGCCACAAAACATGAAGTGAACAGAAGCGCCGATTCCTTATTATGAAGTCCTGCCAATTCTCTCTCCAATTCCTCATGAAGTGGAGTATTCCCCGATATATTACGAGTGCCACCACTTCCAGACCCAAACTTCTCAACCGCTTCTCTATTGAATCCAATTTTATAGAATTGTGTTTTAATTTCAACTCAAAATTATTTCTCTAAATAAATATACTTATAAATTTACAATATTCATTCAAAGTTCGTAATTTATTCAAGGAGTTTATGTTGATAACAATGTTAGTATAAAGTTAGAAAACATTTTTCTCAAATTCATTGAGCATATGGTGACGAATTGGTGTTAAGATATAGAGTTAAGATTCGTGAGAAAACTTAGAAGACTTACATTACAGAGCGTTTGACTTTTGGGTGAGCAGTCATTCCCAAGTAGTCATTACTGCACCAAACAGTGATGGGTTTGCATCCGTCGGACATCTCATTAGCGAAGGGAACCTTTTCAGCAAAACGGGACACTTTCTTGAAGATCCGATAGCTGTGGTCCGCCTTCTTCTTGTGGATTTGGTGTCGAAAAAACTCGTCGTATTTGAAAGGCTTATCTATTATTGAAGTTTATTCAATGAATTCATCCAATTTTAGAAACAAAATTCATGTATAACTCACTGCCAGTGTCGCCGATGATATCCTGAACCACGCGTGGATCAGCAGCTTTTAAAGTAGGCTTAACTGACTGAAGGAACGGACACTCAGTCACCTGACTCACCGATTCTCGGGCGTTATCAATGTTTCCTAAAATAAATTTCACCCAAAATGTCATAAAAGTTTGATATTTGTGTGAATACTTGCCATCAATTTGGTGGAAATGGTTCTCACTATTGTCGGTTGAGTTGACAGTAATGTCTGAATATTGTCGCGTAAAGGTTGTCGAGATTCTGGACATAACCGGACATACGGGCAGATATGTGCGGACTATCGTTGAATAATTCCTCAGTAGGAATGGTGTTGACAATTGGCTTATGAAGGGACAGGGCATTTTCACGATACAGGTGCTCACTACAAGTATTACAACCAAATGGCAAAACTCTTTTAAAATAAGTTCTCAAAGTTGTCTCTATCTTATTATAAATAGTTTTCAAATGAAATATAAAGTTTGAGATTAGGTTTGCGTAACCGATAATAGTTGTGATCGGTTTGCAAATAGTTGTTAACGTAAATAACATTCAAGTTAGTACTGACCCAATTGAAAGTCAATCAAATAGTTGTTAAGTTGGAGTTGAGTTTCACTGATCAAAGGTAACGAAAGCAGTGCTAACACTATAATAACACTACAACTCAATTGCTGTCAAATTTAAAGCTGTTTTTCGCGTTTCTCTCGTCTCTCAGCCTTTAGGCTATGTTTGCGTCGATTTACTAATTGATCGCAACTTATATTTAGTTAATACTTATAAAGTTTTTGTTTTAAATTCAATTTGTTAATAATTGTTTGAATGCCACGTAAGCCAATGACAAGCATATGTATTGAATGATGTCATAACATGTAGTTTAGTAAAAATTAAAAATTTATTGAAACTGTATTACATTTACAAATCTTTTTATTAGTAAAGATATTAAATAATTTATTTCTTAACACATGTGTTTAAACACACATTCAACCAAATTGCTCACTGATTCAATACTTATCTAACTTTATAAGTTATAACAGATTGTGATATTATATCAATTCCAGTACATTAACAACCATTTCGTCCGAAAATCAATTTATTACGAAACTTATGCAATAATTGAATCAAACAATTATTTCAGAAAATACACCAATTTAGTACAAAATATTTTTACTTTTATTTATTTATATTTTTGTAACGAAAACTTATTTATCAGTTTTGATTCATACAAACATTTAGTACTGAATAAGAGTACAATCTGTATCACCGGTATTTTGAGTGCAATACAGTACATAGAATATAGACCTTGACAACATTATTAATACTACTTTTCATACAGTATATTCATTTAAAGGACTTTTCGTTCGTAATGCACCCATTTTACCCATAATGTACTAAAAGTTTTACATTGATTATAAATATTTTCTGAAATCGATTTGGCTAAATATTCAATTTATTTTAATTTATAAGTTTTGGTATAATCATAATCTAAATTGTTTATGTTAGATCTTTCGATGTGTTTATACAAAGTCTTATTATTTAGCATTTTAGTAAATATTTTAGCATTATTTGATCTAAATATTCAGATCATTGCAAATACAGTATTTTCAAGATTGATAAATTGATAAACTGTTTTAAAATTTAAATGTTTTGAAAATACATTTAATTAGAAATGTATACAGTATTAAACAAAAGGCATTCTACAATTAGACATTATATTTTATACTATAAATATTGATTTTTCAAATAAGCCAATTTTATTAAATTATAATTATAACCAGTCTTATCTTTTCAAATTAAATATACAATATTGAGAAATAGTTTGTTGTTTTAAATTCTAATATTATGCAAACATTCAATGACAATGTTATTTTTATAAAACTAACTTTCTCACTTATCATTATAATTTTTGAATTTTGATAACATAATTCCAAATTAATGTACCAAGTTATACTAAGTTGTACATGATAGAAATCTTTCAATATTTTGAATTTTGATTATTTAGAAACAATAGTAATGTTTAATTACAATTAATAACATATAAGTATTTATTAATCTTTTTAAATAAATATTTCAAAACAAATTGATTTATGGTTAAACATTAAATTACATAATATAATAATTTAACTTTAACAATTTTATAATGTCAATTCAAACAAAAAATATGTTCTAATATATCATTTTTTATAAAAAGCTTATGTAAAAGGTTTACAATTGACAAAACTAACCAGTCACATATAAATGAATAAAAAAAATCTTTATAATGAAATGTAATTTTAAAGTTTGCAAATAATGATATAAAATAAATAAAACAAAATAATGGCAATGAATAAATACTTTTAATTTAAAACAGGTGCGCTTACAGTTTACTTTGTATTAGTATAGGAAACAATTACGAACTCTTTATTAACTCTCTATAACTATCTTATTTTATATATAAATTTTTAAAAACTTAAATTATAGATGTTTTAAAATTTATAACTTAAATTAATTAAAAGGAATTTATTGCATAAAATTGTAGTCTAACCAAATTTGAGTAAATTTTGTTGTTAATATGGAAATGACAATTTACCAGAGATGTTATGCCACCCCGTAATTAAAAAGTGATTATTAATCACTGATTAAAATATTAAAAACCGGTTCTATGTTTACAAATATTTTCTGCAAATATCTAATCAATACTTTGTCTGGAAACTAAAACTGTCTATTATTTATCTTATTTATTATTTAAAAAATCAACAATTTTGTTATATTTTATTAATTAAATTAATTTATATATTAACACTTACATAACAGTAAACGAGAATTAGAGATCCAGTATTTTTAAAACTAATTTCAATTAATAAATAGTAGAAATGAGTGTTTGTGACAAAACTAAGAAAACTGGTCCGGGGTATAGAAGTCCATTGGAGGCAATGGAAGGACCCAAAGAATCATTACTATACGTGACTTGTATCCAACCAAATGGTAAAAGAGATGGAAAGCCAGACTACTTGGCCACTGTTGATGTGGACCCACAATCGGACCAATACTGTCGAGTGATATCGCGAGCACTGGTCAGAGAAAGTGGGGATGAGTTACACCATTCGGGTTGGAACTCATGCAGCAGTTGCTTCTGTGACCCAAACAAAACCAGAGATAAACTCATTTGTCCGACACTTAACGGCGATCGCGTCTATATTTTCGATATGAGTTCCCCAAAAGAGCCCAAACTCTTTAAAGTTGTCGAAAGTGACGATATGTACGCAAACAAAGTCAGTGCCGGACATACATCCCATTGTCTGCCATCGGGAGAAGTTATGATCAGTTGTATGGGTGACGAAAAGCGTCAGAATAAAGTAACTTAATTAGCAAGCTCAGTTATAACAACTATTTTAAAATTAACTTCATTTTAGGGCTCATTTGTATTACTGGATGGAAAGACTTTTAATGTTAAGGGCGTCTGGAATGAAGTTCCAAAAGGAGTGCAATTTGGTTATGATTTCTGGTATCAGCCCCAACATAACGTTATGATCAGTACTGAATGGGGAGGGCCTACCACTTTTGGACAGGGATTCAATTTGGATGATGTGCACAATGGCCTCTACGGTCACTCTCTTCATGTATGGGATTGGAGTTCAAGAAAATTGATTCAAACAATTGATTTGGGAAGGGATGGACTAATGCCTCTTGAGGTCAGATTCCTTCACAATCCAAGCGCTTCGGAAGGATTTGTTGGCTGTGCTCTCAGTTCTACTGTACTCTCAAACTTATACTTCTATCTAATTATTCAACTAAATATAACTGTATTTTTAGATTTTTAGATTTTTTAAAACAAATCATGACAAATGGGAAACAGAGAAAGTGCTAAGTATTCCCACGAAGAAAGTCAATGGTTGGCTATTAGATGATATGCCGGCCCTCATTACCGATATCTTAATCTCTATGGACGATAGATATCTTTATGTAAGTTAAGTGAGAAAGTTAGTTTTATAAAAATAACATTGTCATTGAATGTTTGCATAATATTAGAATTTAAAACAACAAACTATTTCTCAATATTGTATATTTAATTTGAAAAGATAAGACTGGTTATAATTTAATAAAATTGGCTTGTTTGAAAAATCAATATTTATAGTATAAAATATAATGTCTAATTGTAGAATGCGTTTTGTATAATACTGTATACATTTTTAATTAAATGTGTTTTCAAAACATTTAAATTTTCAAACAATTTATCAATTTTGAAAATACTGTATTTGCAATGATCTGAATGTTTAGATCAAATAATGCTAAAATATTTACTAAAATGCTAAATAATAAGACTTTGTATAAACACATCGAAAGATCTAAAATAAACAATTTAGATTATGATTATACCAAAACTTATAAATTAAAATACTGTAAATTGAATATTTAGCCAAATCGATTTCATAAAATATTTATAATCAATGTAAAACTTTTAGTACATTATGGGTAAAACGGGTGCATTACGAACGAAAAGTCCTTTAAATGAATTACGATATACTGTATGAAAAGTACAGTAAGTTAGTATTAATAATGTTGTCAAGGTCTATATTCTATGTACTGTATTGCACTCAAAATACCGGTGATACAGATTGTACTCTTATTCAGTACTAAATGTTTGTATGAATCAAAACTGATAAATAAGTTTT